ACTGCACTTAAAATGCATCAGTAATGATATTGATTAATGCTAATGAGTGTTTCCAGAACCTTTACAAATGCTTCATGTGATACCCCAGTGCATGTTATTTATTTAGGTTTTGGTATCATTCTCATAATTTTATGAACAATGAGAAATTTTGCAAGTTTTAATATTCATGAATGCAGCTAGGATTTTTCTTTTTTTTTTTTATTTTGACATGTATAGCTGAATATAAACATAACTTCACTCAGTGCACAGATGTGTGGTCCAACAGTTATCAGAAATATTTCTAGCTTTCAGAAAAAAGTAATATTATTCTGACTTTGGCAATACCATTACTGCTAAATTTGTTTTGCTTGCTTGAAAATAATCACTTTTTTCCTTTCCTCTGAAGATATAAATCTGTTATTGCCAAATTGTTTCACATAACCCAACACTGGTCAAGAGCTGTGCAAAGGTCCGTATTCTAAAAATGTTTTATACTTCTGTTCAGGAGATCAGATGCTGAAGATGAAGATGAATGGGAAGATGTGGAAGATGATAGTGATGAAAATGATAGTTGCAATAATGATAAAGACTGTGGTTCAGAAGGTCCTTTATCAGATGATGGGGTTTATGGACAGACAAAAGAATTTCTTTTTATGCAAGAAGAAACCAGGAGTCGTTTCACAGAATATTCTATGACCTCTTCAGTAATGAGAAGGAATGAGCAGTTAACACTGTTGGATGACAGATTTGAGAAGGTGAGGCAGCTCAAGAATGTAACTGTTAAACATAAGGCTATTAAAAGCTTATTTTTTCTTCTGATGCACCTCATAAGGTGATATCCTGTATGCCTGGGCAAATTCTTACTGCCTTCAGTTGTCAGGGCATCAAACTGCTGTTCTTTGCACATATTCCACACTTAATATTGTGTGCATTAAGAGGCTTGTGTTAAATAGGTTGTAGTGTTAATTGCTCTTAAAAGGCCTAATGCAAATGTAGTTAAACAAAATTACTTCTGTCACGGTAATGAGCATTCATAGTTGGTGTTACACTTTCATCTGAGAGGCTTAGTTCAACACAGTAAATCATGTACAAGTGCCTGGTAAAGACTCATTTCTTTCACACTTTCTCCTCACTGTGCCAAATATACATTCATGAAATGGTGTCAGAGCAGTGGAAATACTGTGTAACTTTTGTCCTGAGCAGTGATGGGCTTTTCAATGTACAAATTGAAATAATGCATCAGAATAAGAAACATTTTCCAGAAGCTGATTTACATATTGTTAAAAAATAACTTTGTTCTGAAAGACAATAAGGAGGAAATCCTACTGCAGATGTGTTTGGCAGTTGTTCAGCAGATGAGAGGGGAGAGGAAAAAGTGGCATATAGAAAGAAATGTGTGAATCTTCTTTAAGCTATCAAGAAGTTGCACAACAAATGTGATCTAATTATAGATACTCCTTTATTTTAGTTTTTTGAACAATTTGATGAAGATGAAATTGGAGCCTTGGATAATGTGGAGCTGGAAGGCTATATTAACACAGACAATGCTCGGTTGCAGGAAGTCCTCAACGATTACTACAAAGAAAAAGCAAAGAAGTATGTATTCCCAGAAGTACTGTTTCACATACGGAGTTATGTAATCCTGTGTTTATATTGAAAATCTGAGTATGTTGTTTCCAGTTCACATACTCAATGATTACATCCCACAATTTAAGCAGCTACGTATGAGTGTTACCCATTTTTTTTATGTCACAGAATGTCAGTCTTTTGAGATGATAAAATTAAGTGCAGGCATTTTTTTTTTGGTTTATGTGAGATTATGCTCCTTTTGTATAATTGTGCTGAATTTAGTGCAAGTAATATCTGGAGGCATCTTCCTTTCCCTTTTTAGTGTAACTTAACTTTCTCCTTACGCATTTGCTTACATTTTTAACAGACTCTGTAGCCAAGTGTATTCTGTCATGTTGGCTGGCATGCAGCTGATTCCACTGTATACCTAGTTATGTGATAATAGACTTGCAGGTGACTGTTGCATGGGTACCGCTGTATGGAACACTGCAAAAGTCAGTGCTTATAAAGCAACCCCATGTCAATGTAAGACTGCATTTCCACAGTATATTAATTTTGTCTTAAAGCAAGTGATATTACTCTAAAGTTAAATGACTATACATTCTCACATTAGTCTTGTGTTTCCTGTTTGAAAGATACAGTAATGTGTCTCCTGTACTGAAAGATGACTGGTCAGTAGCAGAGTACATAATCCCCTCTAGAGCTGCCTTGCTTATAGCTAAAAAGTATATCCCCTTCTCTTCCTGCCTTCCAGTCACAAATATTGTGCACCACATACTTTTCAAATGCAGAATTACTTCTTTTAAGACTGTGTCTCTTGTTCTAATGATTCAGTTTATTTTGAGGATGCTTACTTAAGGAAACTTAATTTTGCTGCAGATTTCAGTGGGAGTAGCTTTCTTTGGTTTGGGATTTTACTGAGGGGAGGCCGGATTTACTTATTTACACATTTTCAAGTAAAGGTGAATCTTATTTTTTCTCTTCTCTGTACTTCGAAGTTGTGTGAAACCGGATGCTCTTGAACCCTGTGAAGATTTAGACTCTCCTGTGAATGAACAAAGTGAAGAGGAAAAGGAAGAAATAGTAGCTGTAGTTTTTGAGGAACCAAAAGAAAAGTGGGATTGTGAATCCATTTTGAGTAAGTGTTTTGGAGTTTGCTTGTTTGTTCCTAGGATTTCAAAATAAATGATAGACAATCTCAGAACGCTTGTAACAGTGCTTTAGGCAAAATGGTTTATGCTGCTGGAGCACAAGAGCAGGAATTTTCAAAGGCTAAGTGGTAGTACAATTCATAATAAATTTACCTAATTTCTATTTGCAAGCCTTTCTTCACGACTTTTTTTTTTTTCCTTTGTGACAGGTACATATTCAAATTTATATAATCACCCAACACTTATTAAGGAGCCATCAAAGGTAAAATCATTAAACTTGTTCTGAGTAACACCCTGGCCTGGGAAAACTTGAGACAGAAGTGATTGTTTTCTCAGTGGATATCTGTTTGTAAAAGAAGGAGGGAGATAAAGAGAGAGTTGGAGAGGGTGTTAGTCTCTGGTATTCTTCACTGAAGAAGGGTTTAGATTTTTTATTTTTTTTTTTCTATTAGAAGGAAAAATGAGTAAGTTCAAAATTTCTGTAATAGCTAGGCCAAAACTTAAGAGAGCAAGGAATTTACTTTCTTTTTATCTGTGATATACCTTTGTGTAACCTGATTCTTTCAACCATATTTTAGGTTTTTTTTCTTGAAAATAGGCTTCTATTTCCCTTCTACAGTTTGAAACATTTTTTTGTAGTTTTTTGTCCTTTCAGACATTCCCCATCATTAGAGTACAGCTTGATGTTCCAGATTTTTGAAAGGAAACCTTTCTCTTGAAAGCTTAGAAAGGAATACTAAGTGCCTACATAAGTTCTTTTATTTAAATATTACTGAAAAAAAAAAAAGAGAGGAATTTTCTTCTTCTGGGAGGCCAGATTCTGTTTACAGATGTGTTTGATTTCTTACTTTGGGGTTAATGTGCATTTTTGTCAGGGAAGAAAATATTATGAGGAAACTTACATGTTTATTACTGTTAAATCTGAATATTATATTTTTACACTGATAAGGTAGTGCAATGTGCATTTCTTGGAGCGAAAGCTAGGGGCCATTAATACATACATGCTCTCTATTTTAGCCCAAACCAATAAAAATTTCCCAGAAGACTGGAATACCTCTACATATCTTGCCTCAGAGAGGTCTTACTGCTAAGCAGACAGAACGCATGCAAATGATAAATGGCAGTGACCTGCCAAGAGCATCAACGCAGCCCCGTTCCAAAGACGAGAGCAAAGAGGATCGCAAAGCTAGAAAACAGGCAATAAAAGAGGAGCGAAAGGTATGCCTTATTTAAAATAAAACCCTGAAAAAACTTGTAATATTATCTGAATTCTGCCTAGTGAACTTTTTTTAAAGCTGACTTGTTCTTGTGTCTGGCAATTGATAGGAAAAACTTACTGGTCTAAAAGGACTACTTATTGCTTCTTCAAAAAAAAAATCTACTGAAAAGAAAAATTATCGTAATTTCGTCATCCTAATTTCTGATACAGAAATTTTGGGTCTCTTATTGTGGCCACCATTACATAGATAGCTTCAGAAGGAGCCCTCATTTCCTTATTATTTAAGGAAGGAAAGAAAACAGCTATGATGTTTCAGATCACCCAAAGTGAAAAGTCTCTGAAAGTCTGGAAAATCTAATTGGCCACAATGATATACTAGTTGTTTTAGTTAGGAACAGAAATTGTCAGCATATTAGAAGATTCAGCTAATTAAAAATTATAATCTTGGTGGTACACATATTCATTTGACTACTAATACTTAGTGCCATAAATAGTACTGTTGTGCAGATTGCTGCTCTTTTCATTATCTAGAACTGTTAATTAGAATGGTTTCCTTTTGCATGTTATGCCTGTTTTGTAAATTTGTAATTATTTTTATGCTCAGGAACGCAGAATGGAGAAGAAAGCCAACAAGGTAGTCTTTAAATTGGAGAAAACGAGGCAAGAAAAAGAATTGCTCAATCTGAAACAAAACATTCAAGGACTGAAGCTGTCTTGATGAAACTGAGGAACTTATTGTGGAAACATCCTTAAGTTTTAACTTGTATTGAGAACTGCCAACTCATAGCTTTGACAGTCATGCTCAAAGAGGGTCATTCAGATATTACTGTAACAAGAACCAGTAACTTGTCATTCTTTCTGAAATGAAGTTATACGTAAAACAATGTATTCTGTCATGAGTGACATGGCAGCTGTTGCAAAGTTTCATTACAATAGAAATATATTAAAATTGTAAAAAAATATTTTTCTTACAAGCTATCACTGGACAAAGTTTTATATATATATATATTTGTGGAATGTATTCAGCAAATCGGAATCCTACAGTTTTGATCCAATTAGAGTCTCCTATTAAATTACTCAGTTTACAAACTAGGATGTCCATTTATGTTTTCTCTCTCTTATACTGTTGGTTAAATACATATTTTGATATTTTTGTAAGTCAGGGAGTTTTCACCCACTCCTTAGTTCTTTTTTGGGTTGGCAGTTTATTGTTTGGTTACTATTATGAAAGATGTAGAATAATCTTTTGTAAACAGGTGTCTGAAAAGCTGCTGTCTAGCTGGACATCCCTGTTACCTAACCTGAGTTTTACATTTTTTAGAAAATAACATCTGTTGCAACAAGTGTTGTGGTTACAGTAGTCAGTGAACCTTACTGTTGCTGTTGAAATCAGCTTTGCTGAAAGTACTCATCTTAAGTAGTATGGCAAAGAGCAGATACTTAGAAAAATACTGTATGTTGCAGATAGCCATTGTCTTAATTTTCCAGAAATAACTGTTCTTCGAGTCTTGCATTCAGTTTGGTTTCACTGAAATACAAACAAGACCCACTGCAGTTGTTACAGAAACTTTCTGAAGATGAGCAGAGGGCCAGTATCTTTAGGCTTGATGTGATCTTAAGTCTCTACTGTGCCTGTGAATTACTCTGACTGTGACCAGTCTGTACATGTGAAAGAAATTAATAGGATTTGTAGTCAATCCTTCTGAATCCTTCTGCATTCATAAGAAACCCTTGGCTTTCAGTTTTCAGGACGTACAGACTGAGCAATCTTCTGCCTTTGGGTGTCAAGTTCACCTTTTTTCTGGTAAGGAAGACAGTAACCAAGACATCAGCAGAGTGGCTTGACTGCTACTAAATTCAAAGTGTCTTAAATATTCCTATAAATAGTTTTGTGAATTCTAGATGGAGACAAGCTAACAGAAGGACTGATGAGAACTTCTAATGTACAGAAACAATTCGAAGTACTTGTTTTTGTTGGAAGAAAGCATAAAGTAACATGGTTTTGGAGAAGGAAACAGGCATTTAAGTCTACTAGTCTCTTGATCACTGATCAGAAAACTGATGTGTCAATACAGTATTCACATCTGGATTAAGCCTTCGTTTTTTAAGATTGTTCAAGAGCCTATGTTAACCAAATTGGTAGAAATTGTCAAATATTAGAACAAGTTTAAGGGTTTTCATTTAGCTGGTATCTGTACTAGTTTTCATATGGTTCAAAGGCTTAAGCGGGGTCTGCCTGTGCCGTAATTGTCACTTATGTAATTGCTGATGCATGGTAGCTTGAATTGTGAGCTTTTGATTATGAAGGCTGACCCCCTAGTACTCATGACTCCTGAAAACAAGGCAGAAGAGAATATTGTAGAAACTATTCTATTGAGATGAGTCAGATACCAGGAAAGGAGTTAAATGGAACAAGTGAGTAACAGATGCTGCTCAGCGGTTTGGGCGGAATGTGATTTTTGTCATTTACTGAAAAGGAAAATCTTTTACTAAAGACAACGAACATGTTTTTTACTAGTCCTTAACTTGTCTGCTGTTGTACATGTCTGAAGTAACTAATCTGTGGCAAATTGTCCTTTTTCCTGACTTTTCATTGCTGATTCTGTGATCTGTGATTCTGTGACCTTTTTTAATTCTTTTTAAAAAAGAAAAAAGCTGTATCAGTCAAAACTTTGAGGGAATGAGAAAAAAATAAGAGATGGGGGAGTGGTTTGCTAATTAAGGATACTAGTTAAACTCAGACACCAGAGTAAAAAGAGTAGGTGTGTTTTACTGGTGGTAATGAATGTAACGGTGTAATACAGAAAACATGAAGCAAGAAAAGACAGAATAGTGCACCTAAAGCAACAGGAAAATACAGGGTAATCCATCAAATCATTACTGCACAAGAGAGAAGAATAGTGATCGTGAAAAATACATCACCACTTGCACACTTTACCATCACCCAGACCCGCAGTGGCTGGGCAGCCCCAGTTACATTGAGGGTTTGGAAAGCCTGTCCCGGCCAGTGGGAAATCCTACGCGGTGCGTCCACCTGTAGGTGAGGCTTCCAAAGTCGCTATGAGCGGGTCCAGCCTTATATCCCAGAGATCGACAAGCCAGAATAGCTGGCACCTTTGTTTTGAGCCGAAAATTTCTGTTTTCATTCTCCTGTTGGATTTCACCCAAGGCCTGGCCAGGGCTCAGGAGAGACCAAGGGAGTTTCTGACAAGGCCAAATACCTGTGTTCTCAGCCTTGAACAAGGATAAACAAGGCAAGTTGGATACATTTTCTCAGCATTTTGTCCTCGCTAATGATTATATTGTAGGCCGCATCCTTCACTAGTGAGCTTACGTACTTTGTTAATGATTACATACTAAGTCAGCAGCTTCGGCTTGGGGCCTGTTGTTCAGGCCTCAGTGTTTCAATGCTTTAGCATTTTTTACATCAGCATAAGTGGGTTGTTATAACTCAGTACAATACTTACTAGCACAATAGTTTTCGGTTATAAAATATATAGGATTCATCTAGGTCAACTCTGGCCTGGGCCAGTTGTCCGAGCCTTAGCACTTCAGGGAGGTAAAGGAAGATGCTTGAAAGGAAGAGTATAGTCTGGACTAAGCAAAGACACACAGAAAGATGTTGCTTGGGAGCAAAAGCGGGAAGACATTTCAACAGAGGCAATAGAATAAGAGTCAAAAAGGTTATGGAATTGCTTTGTTCCTCTATGCTTGTAATCGATGGAACACTGTAGTAAGTGCCTTGGAGAATGAAAAAATCTGAAGGAAAAGGTAAGGAACAAAAGCAGTTGCACATCTGCTCAGCAAGACTAAGGATTTCTTTTGTTTCAGCAAGAGCAGGTAAGATACACTTAAATCTTTCCCGCTATGTTACAAGTCTCATGAAAAAGGCTCTTTGTTATTATGCAAATTTTCTAAAAGCTGATTTTGTTTAATACAAGTAATGTCACTGCTATGAAATGAGAATATGTGACTGCCATTGGAGACAGAAAGGCTATAAAAAAATTACTGATTTAAAAACAAATCCCCACAACTTTGACATCTACAAGGTAAGATCATCTTAGAATGCTGTTTAGCCTGTCATGAAAATGTTCTGTCTTAAGAATGAAGATCATGTCACACTTAGGGTGACACCTACTACTTTCTCGAGTAGCGATGGTTTACCCTGAGCCGCTACTGGTCATCGCTATCTCGTGATGACTTACAAACAAAGTGGAATAAATCTGAGTGCAGATTGTTTGCTCTTGCTTTCCAGCCCCCCTTCTCTGAATTTAGGCCATGATGAACCTGACTGAGTACTCTTGCATCATCTCCTTGCCCAACTGTGATGTCATTGTGAAAAGACATGCCTGAGCTGTCATGTGGAAAACACAAAGCTGTCCATCGTAGTAAAGAGAGCTTGTGCTTCACAGCAACAAGATAAATAAGGTGGTTCTGCCAAAGGGAGCACTGGCACATGACTGTAGATGCCCCTTTCTGCCAATGAAATACTGTATCGGCAAGGGTTCAGTCCAAACACTGACTCTACTGTAGTCAAGCCATCCTGTACTGCATAACCAAGACTTTCATGGTTTGAATTTTACACAGCTGCCAAAAGTCAAGATATGATACCTTGTACAACCTGTGGAAGACATTTAGCACAGGATGTTCTGGTAAAACAAAACTTATTTTCTGTTTAAAAGACCAAATGATCTAATAACTGCTTTCATTAGTGAACTTGATTAGATAATTAATGAACATGCACAGAAATGTTGTGACTCAATCTGCAGTCTCGCACTACCTTAATTTACCTGCTTGTCCAAAACCAGGTGTTTACCATATATTGCATTTAAAATAACATATTACCTCTTGGTGAGACATAAGTTACCAACCTGAAGCTTCCTTTGTGTTCCAGGTTTCTGGGCAGAATTTATTTCAGGCTTCCTGGGAAAAATAGACTAATAAACCATCTGATAAGTAGTCCTTTTGACAGCATAATGAGGGCACCAGGCTCTGTTCCAAAGCCTGCTGAAGTGAGTGAAAAGATTCCCCTTTACCTCACTGATCCCTGGATTGCAAACTGAATGGGTGGCTGCAACCCAACTACGGGGTGTTTCTGCAAGGGGGAGCTCTGCACACATTCCTTTCCTCCTCAGTTTGATTCTGTGGCTCTGTAGGAGATCAGATCAGCTCTGCATAGAACTGAAAACTGATTTAGCAAGAAAAAGTAGTAAACAAGAAAAATACACTGTAAGCTGGACTATGAGTGCTAAGATGAGTGGAACTACCCTGTGTTAGTAGTTCTGTGTCTGGTATCTCGGATCAGATATATGAAGAATGTGATGGTTTAATCTAGCAAAATCATTCGAAAAGACAGCTATCTATGTTCTGAGGGAGGCAGAAAGTTTCTTGTCACTATGACTAGCATGAAATTCAAGTCCTGTAATGTCTCTTTGTCCCACTGATGCACAACTGGTATGCTCCTTAGTGAGCAAGACACAGGTATCTGTTGCCATCTTGGTCCAGCAGAGAAATCGTCCTCTCAAGTTTACTGACAGAAAAGTATAGAAACAGAAGATAAAGACCTGAAGCACATGAGTAGAAAGGTTCAAAGGGAAACAAGAATTTAGAAATGTGTGTTGTAGTAGAATGGGGTGCTTTTTGGCCCAGCTGAGCTGTAACCAAAATACCCTGCTCAGGCAGCTGCTTAACTCCCATGGGAAGACAGTGGATGGCATAGAGAAATTAATGAGAAGATGAAGAAGAATATGAGAACTGGAAACAGGGAGTAAGCAAAGGGAGATAGGAATGGGGTGTTTCATTTACCAGCTGCAGACAGGCTCAAATAGGTGTGATCCACAGTTACAAGAGAGAGGAGGTAGTTTGGTCCTCACTTTCGTGGTGATTCACCATCCTGTTGCAGAAAAGTGAGGTTGATGCTAAAATCTGAGACACTTCTGAATGCTAAAACCTCCTTTGTTGTGAGGTGTGGCTCTTCCACAAATTTGGCACTGGATATCTACCTAAAATTTCCCTGTGCTGTCAGCTGCAGCTGTTATCCCTAGTTTTCCTTCTGAGGTGTCAGGTTATGTGTGCTGGTAAGCAGCTGCTCCCTTTCAGCCTGGGACTGTTGCTGTTTCAGTGGTGTTGATGGGATGGACAGTGCTGCTGCTTGTCAGGGGAGCCCCCGGTCTGTAATACTTATCAACTCAAAGAACTAATAATGTAAATATCGGCCCCTTGAACAGGATCAGTCTGTTCTCCCTCTTAACCAAGGAAGAAAGAAAAACAAGTGAAGGGGGGAGGCAGTAGTCCAATGGGACTGTTCCTGTGCACAGACCCAGTCTGTTATTTTCTGAAAGTCATTATTTGCACTGGCCTCCAGCATATCCCTGAGCAGAACAAACTAGAAATGGTTTCTATTTCTTATTTGTGTTGTACTGCAGCTATACTTGGACAGCATTTTAAAGTTTTGCTGAACTCTTGCAGGAGTTAAATTGAACTTAATAAATACAGCTTTAGCTCCCTGCTCCTAGGAGTAGTAATTTTAAAGCTTGAGTAAGGAAGCATCATTAACAAAGCATGACTTCAATCCATAAACAGCTGTTTGCATCCCAGCTGAGACATGATCCAATATGCAGGAAAGTCTTCAACAAGAAGTGCAAGTTCTCTTTGAAACAGAGACTGCAGGGAAGAGGAATCACCACTGTGAAGAGGCAGTCCCTGCAAAAGGTATAGTTAAAATTGAGGCATGTGTGTTACTTCCATATGAAGTCTAATTCAGTAACAGTATTGTTTCCTCTGAGGACAAAGCCTGGATGTTGTGGATGAGTCTCACATATGTGTTTAACTCAGTGCCAAATTCTTTCCTCCCACTCCCTGTGCTGCTAGTGTTTGAGAATATTTCTCCATTCAGAATCCAGACCAGTAGGTGCTGTGACTACTCTGGGCACATAAGTGTCTCTGCTCTTCTAGGAAGTGTTCATGTATGTGTTTTAAAGACAACACAAGTCTCCGACAGTTTCCTCTTCACTTAAATCTGAAAGAGACTGTGATCCAAGATGGTTGGTGCATGAATGCCCCAGGTTGGACATAAGAGCTGTCAGTAGCTACAAATCTTCCACAGATAAAGCTACAGAGATTCACTGCTATTGAACTCAAGGGTTTAAAAATATATTTGAATTGAACTTATTTACAGGTGGGAAAGAGGCTTAAGCTCTTACTTGGAACAAGTTTTTTTCATGTGTTGCTGAAGAGGGAGTACACTTAGACATGAATGTGTATAATTTTACCCAGAGATGCCAAATCACTGCTGATTTGGTATAGATTCAGACTGCCATTGTAAAATGTCCTTTAAAATCAATTGTGGAAAGAAACAGAAGTGCACAAAGGTTTAAAGCAAGAAGAATCTGACAAGTGGAGGAGAATGGAAGGTGTTGGTCAGAGTGTCTTTTCTATTCTATTTAGCAAAAGGCAAAATCATCTTTCCTATGCCTTCAAAAATCAAATTTCTCTTGTTTGTAATATTTTTCCTTTTTCTCAGAAAAGAAGAACTCTAAGATTTCCCCCTGTCCTTTTCAAGGGGGAAATATAGTTTGTGTTTTCCTTTATTTCCATTACAGAAACAGCCAGGGAAGAAATCTAACTGGAGGCAGCACCATGAGGAGTTTATTAATACTATTTGGTCAACCAAGTAGGTCAAAAAGCTCTGAAGGAGGACTGCCCTCTTCCACCTCCTCCCCCACCAAGCATCAATCCAGGTTTGTGGTCTACTTTATCTTACCAGTGTTCCTGTACTAATCTTTGGTAAAGCAATGACCTCTTATTATCCACAGCTGGACTTCCGTTTTGCACCCTCCAGCACAACACAATGTGCACATTAATTCCCTCCATACTCTCTAGTTTTAGTTGTTTTTCTTCACTAAATTGAGTAGGGGTGCAATGGAGAGGTGGTGGGGAGGAAGAGAAAGCTAACAGTGTCTTTTAAGTTTAAAGGCAGCAAGGCTGGGGTCTGATGTTAGACAACACTTTGGAAGAAGAGTCAGGATGCTTGTGTTCTAGTATAACAGAGGATGAAATACATCCCCTCACCATTCAAAACAACTGTAGGGCACACAGGCTTCCACACTCCCATGTGGTGGCTTTTCCGCTGTCCCCTTCCCCACCCAACTGCACAGACAGGGAAGTCATTTAGAAGAAGACAGGTCTGGTTTACTACTAATACCAAGGGTGATCTCTGCACAGAGCTTGCTATGTTAGAAGTTATGGATCCAAAAAGATGCACATACAGCCAATATTTCTCATGATATGTGATTTATGAAATGTGGGAGCAATCTTGGAAAGGATCTCAGCAGAGTCCCGCTTGCATTAGGAAGGCAGAGGGCAGGAGGGGGAAGTGGGGGACTCTCTGGGCTCACTTCCAGAGCAGGAATTTGTGACTGATAGCAGAACCAGCTGCCATGATTTCAGCCTTTCTCCTCTTCTAGATGACAGCAATGCAGCATAAGCAGCAGAACACATCTTCCTTCCTTGACTGAGGTCAAGCTCCTCTCTGAATTTCCACTGCTGAATTCTTTAATGACTCTGTTATTTCTTGCCTGACTCCACTGACTCTAAGAGCAGACCCTTCCCTTTCCTTCTCCCTCTTGGAGGAAACCTAGTTGTGCAAGTGCAGTGGTAGTTGTGGAGAAAGGAATTGGAGAACTGCTTTTTAGGAAAGACAAATTGCTGAGGGTCTTAATGAGGATGTATATTCTATACTGCACGACTGAAGAGAAAGCACATTGATTGTGGGGAGGGGAGAGAGTCCTCCTCTAAATAAAGCCCAAAGCTCCCCGTTCTCCCCTGAAGTGCCAGGTCCTGCTGCTAGCCCCACAAATCCAGGCATCTGCCCTGTCTCGTCATCTGCTCCCCTGCATTCAGAACAATTTTGCCCATGCTGCTGGTCTGGAGCTGGCTTTTGGGCCACCTTTTCTGGGCTGTTACTGAGAGAAACTATTCGTAAATATGCTAATATCTGTAATACTAGGATGAGGACACTCGGGCTGCTTTTGTAAAAGGCACTGGGCAGGGAGGAAGGGTCTGAGAATGGCAAGGGCAGTGTGAGGGCTGAACATGACCGCATTGACCACGAACACTGACCAGTCATTGAAACGAGTAGAACTGCACCAGTGGTAAATGTTGCTGAATAACTTTTAACAGAATCAGGGTTGTAACACTATCAAAAATAACTCCAGGAAGAACTGATGTGTGCTCTTCACAATGCTGCTTCACACCCAGGAACCTGGCTCTTGGCTGTGCCTCATCTGGCAGGGCACAGCTTCTTCATCAGTGATTTGCCAAATAGCGATCTTAATGACCAAAAGTATTCTTAGAATCATAGTGTTTGACTAGTCTCGGAATTTTAAATAATGCTTTTTATGCAGACTTGTTGATTGTGAGGTTGTGGGTGGGAACAGGACAAAGATAATAAAATCTGCTTTTATTAATCCCCTGCATTTATTTCTGAAAGCAATTACTGTTGCTGGGTTAATACTGTAAGCATGTATTTTAGGATCCCAAATGCTTTTCCAGAGGAGGTTTTTGTAATTCTCCTGTGTACTTTGGGAGCTGATGGGAACTCACCATGATCACCTGCTGATAGAGCCAGTTTTTGAACCGTATTTTGAGTACTCCAGTAAAGCAGAGCAATTCTTCTTCTGTAATGTATAAACTGTTTCTTATGGTCAGACTATGTTCAGTGTCCACACTGCTCACACAGATTTAATGAGGCTGCAGCACAGAGGCACGTGAAGTTTTGTGAAGAACAAACTGTGCCTTTGCTGTGAAGAGCACCAGACAGGCTTTGGTAAGCGCACACAGTCATGCTTACACTGTCCTGGAGCCAGATTTGCCAAACTGTAGTTTATGGTGAGTAAGGAGCTATATTAATGTAAAACTTAAGATTCTGAGGAAGTTAGTAAACTCTTAAGACAAGATACATGCTGAATATCAGCTAGGAGTTCCCTAAAACTGGAACTCTTTCTCTGATATAAAAAGTGACAGAATATGGTAGTACGAAAAAGTACTTTTCTTCAGACTCTTCTGCAATTGGATTCCGGGGTAACAGCTGTAGGGAAGCAGAAACGTGGCAGCTTTTGCAATACACAGAGAAAGCTCTTCCTGTTCATTAGGGGTCCCTGCTGCTGGCAGGTTTGCTGTTCCCTGCAAATGTATTGCTGATTTATTCCCTGGTTGCTAGACAAAAGGGCTAAGCTCCTTTGGGGAATCAGAAAAGTGGAGCTAATTGGCAGTATCTTGAAGTGAGCTCCTATTTTATTATAGAAAAGAAAATGTAAACAATTCATTTAGGAGAGTACTGATTTTTTAAAAAATATATTTGAAAATCTTATTACTCTTATACTTGTTTTGGGCAGGAAGAATGGCTTCCAAGTAGGAGGGGATGTACCTTTTTCCTGTTCCTTCCTAGCACTGCTTCAACAAAAATTTGGGGAGTTTTCACCAGCCTCTGTAAGCTCCTTGTTAGAGTTGGGTGTGAATTGTGCATCTTCCCACCACCACCCTCCAACCTTAAAAACTGCTGTGTTACCACTTCAGAAGAGAGTACAAGAAGTTGCCAATACAGATGAACCCAGGCCAGATAAAGAGTTCATTTAGCCATATTTATATGTTTCCTATAACAAACTCTGATGTATTTTAGGTGGGGGGGGTCAGCATTTTTAAAGCAGATCCTAGGCTTTGGAATCCAGTTGTTTTAAGTAGGTTTTTTTTTTTGCAAGTCCAGTCCTTGAGATGAAATCCTAAACTCATTTCTGTACAACACTTGTTAGAAATGAGAAGGGTCAAAAATTTTCAAGTGGAAGTTGTTGATATTGAATAGCTTTCCAAGTCATTATCCTGATCTATTGTGCCAAGTGTATACACAGACGTTTTCATATGGGTCCTCAGGAGGGATGACTTACCCTTTTCAGAGATCTTCAAACAGAAGTACCCACACAGACCTAAAATATGGAGTATGGGTGTAAGGTTCCTTTGGTCCCATAAAGGACTCCATAACCTTTAATCTTTGATTTTAAGATTTATTCCATCATCTTTATCTTAAGTCCATTTAGATGAAGAATCAAGCTTTGTATCTTGTTTGTTCTGTATGACTTTCCCCTTATTGATTCAGCCTTAAAATTAACACCACAACATCCTAAAAATAGTTCTTTCCAAGCAAGATGCCATATAATATGTTTGCTAGCACCCATTGCTAGCCCTAAATGACCTGTACTCAGTCTGTGTTTGGAAGATGTTTTATGAAGTTATTTGAATCGTTATTTGTAGTATAACCTGTGAATGATAATGCATACTGCTCTTTGTATCGATATCTTTGATCCCTACATTTCTGGGTTTTATGTCGAATTTATGTAGGTTATAATATTTTATGGCCAATAATTTTTTTAAATAATGATCTGCAGAGACCTCTCCAGGAACACTGCAGAAAACCAGAAAATCTTTGGGTGTGTCTACTTGTTTCATCATTATAACATAAAAGGACCTTGTTTGCTTCTGTGTACATCAATATCCTGTTGTGGTGTTTGCAGTATGAACTTCTTTATATTAACTGAAGCAATCGCACAGAAAACTTTTGTAGAGCTCCTCCTGTCCCCAGTATAGGCTGCTGAGAATATTCATTTTGGTGTTAAATGTTCTTTGGTTTGGATCAGTTCCATCTCAAGTAGGCCATGACTGTGTTCTGCCACGACCTGTGTTCTGCTGTAACAGGCATCCTGAGAGGATTTGCTGCTTGATAATGCAAACCTCTCTATCAGGTCTTGTGCTCTCACAATGTGTTTCCATTGTCCCTATGAGGAAGATGCCAGTATCCATTTCAATAATCACTATGTCAAGATGACAGTGTGGAGGTTCTTCCTTGTCCTCAATGTTTACTTTCCCAGACCATGATGTTTGGTGCTTCTGCTCTTCAGACCATGCAGTCAGTGTGGCTCCCATCTCGCGCTATGCCATGTCAGAGCCATGTCAGAGCAGCAAGGTGGCCTTCCAGCCCCTGCTTAAGGTGGTTGTTGTGCCGTTGTGCAAGGGGATGGCTCAGGTGATTGGCATCTTGCACCCCTGTGAGATGCACATGACAGCAAAATATGAGATCCTGGCAGGGAATGTGGCCAAGATGGATTCCCTGGAGCTGGCAAGGTATTGTGAGCCTGTGAGATGAATGGTAAGAGTGCTTAGAGCATGGGATGAACAGTAATGTGCACAAAAGAGTCTGTTGCAGAGACCTTCTTTGCAGGGTCCTTCTTATGTGGAGCTTTGCTGTCCTTAATTGCTCTGCTGGTCAGTGGGTTAAGTACCTTCAACTGTGGGGAAGACTGTAATGGGCATGAGAGTGTTCAGTCCATGGTGCCATCATCAACTCTACCTACCTCCTTGACTTTGCCAGCAACAGGAAAAAGAGTTTGACAGTACCCAGTAGTCTCATCTGGTGTTCTCCACTCCCCAGATTACCTGTGACTATGTTAACAGGGTAGGAGTTCTTATAGTGCAGGGTCTTGCAAACCACCAACAGGTATTTATTGATACCATCACCATCCTCAAGGTTTATCCTCTAAACTCTGAAACTTGGACCTTGACAGGCATGGGGACGAGACACCTCTTTCCCCAGGGATGCTGGTGAGCCCAGGTATTGCCAAGGTTGTAGCCGCAGCCAGTTTAGAGAGGCCTGGGCGAGCCAGTGTCTCCAGCAGGTCCCCAGGGCCGACATCCATGCTAGCGTCTGAAATACAGGGCAGAGTCCTGTACGTCCCCAGGAACTGTGGAAGCAACTGGGTGAAGTTAGTTTATCAGTGCTGGGCTGTTGGCAACTGCTGCTGCATTTTCTGTAAAACTTGAGCTTTGCCAGGCACTTTACAGTGTGCTTTGGGCTAGTGAGAGATCAGTTTTAGTGCTACCCAACAGTGCTTTATACCTGAGAAAGCAGACATGAGAAACTGTCTTTCAGTGGTGCAAATAAATGTTCTCATCATTAATGTGCCTGGAAATGGTTTCCAGGATGAGTTACTCCATCACCTTCCCAAGAATTGAGGTTAAATCTTCTTAGATAAAATGGGAGTAAAATACAGAAGCTTTTTCTATACAAACAAGTATACAGTTTGTTGCTGCTTTCAGACCACAAATGCACAACAGAAGATATAGTGGCTGGGTTGGCAAGGATGTTCTAAGGTTTTCTTCTGATGCATTATGGAAGATCTTAAGCAACACAATTTTCCAGCACCACTTCCACCTAGAGTGCTACAGCTATCACATTCAATAAAATAAGCAAACTGAAGTTCACTGCCCTTCCTCCCCCTTTCCTAGGCTACAAAGCTTATTATGCTGTCCCTTTTAAAGTTGTGAGATTATTTGTATCAGTTGTCAAAATTTAATTAAATTAAATCCATCCTGCAAGGGGATGGATTCAATGTTTTTAACAAAAGATAGAAAGAGCCAGTATCATGTGGGGGGGTTGGGATTTTTTTGTCCCCCTAATGCTTTTCTTTGATATATTGAACAAGACAAATGAACATTTTGGAATTTCAGGTATACATTTAATAGAATCTTCCATTAAACAATAAATGATAAATGACAGTGATCAGTAAGTGATAAATGGCCATGTATGCTGTGCGTCAGCTTCAAAGCACATCAAGTCTAACTAACTAAAACCAAATCTCATTTTTGCATTAAAAACTTCAATCGCTTTTAGAAATTGATTGAAATGCTGTGGAGGCATAGCCCTTTTTATTTTTTGGCAATCTGATCTATTGCCAGCCTTGGATCACCTTGCATAAACTTTCAATGCTGCAACATGTTGGGTTTTTTCAGTCCAACAATCTCCAATAAGGCTTTCAATTAAAATCCATAAGGAATTTTCTTGCCTATTAAATGTTTATAAAGTAAATGAAGATGAAAAGTAGTTGGACACAACAATAATAAATACCAGACTTTACAGAGTTTCATTACTTAGGCTCTAGCTAATAGTGATTAAATACAGAAAGGATGACACTGAAGCAAGTGTCAGTCCTAGAGCTAGGCTCTTAGAAACACTGGGCATGAAATGAGCCCAAATATATAAAAGCAGTGCTGCTTAGCCTATATTTCAATCCAGAAAGAAGAGGGGGGGAAAAAAACCACCAAACAACAAAACCAAACCACATAGCAAACTATCCTGTGAAATGTTACCACAGTTGCTTTTTTTTTTTTACAAATAAATAGTCAAAAGTTAGAGCAAGTTTTACTGTATTTGTTGTTGTTCCCCTATTACTTTCTGTGTGTAGAAGTGTTTGATTTCACAGCTCATTTTCCAGTATTTTACAGAAAATATAATTACAGGGACAGGAATGGTGTGTTAAAGAACAGTAGCTAAAAATTCTGCTAGCAAGAAATTAAACAATCACTAGTACATGGAACATACAGTCTTCTTTCTGACTGGCTGTGGAAAACGCTTTGGAATTAACAGCAACTCATTGGTTAAGAAAATGGAGACTACCAACAGGAACAGTTGGTAAATAAAACTGAAAAAATTAACATGGTTTCTGATAGGGGATAGGAATTGAGCACTAGAAATACTTGTGTTTACATAAAGGATGCAGGGTCTTTTGTTCTATGTAGTATAATTTTAGCTCCTTAACATTATTTCAGCAGGTTTACGTGACTTTTTTTTTTATAAAAGGAGTACATTTTTTTGTATGAGACCACATTTACTAAGTTTTGCTGTTTTACAGTATCATTTGATTATAGTAATTCTGTTGTTTAGCCACCACATATTGCTCTGCTTCTACAGATTTCCAAGTGGAGTTCAGATAAAAGAGTGTTCTTATTTCTATTAGGATGTGAAGTAAAATATCCTAAGATCTCCCAGAGCGTCAGGCCTTCCTGTTCTCTTAGCTGCTATGCCATGGTCTATCCTACCTTTCCCAAGCCAGCTCTGTCCTTGCATTTGGAGGAGGAATGGGCTGTGCCAGAGAGGAGGGAGGGAGGATGGGCCACTGGTTGGGCTGCTGCCTTGTTCCACCATAACCCTGATCTGTGTGGGGCTGCCTGTCCCCACACGGGTGTTGTCGCAGCCCTGCATGAGCCAAAGGCAGTGTCACCAGACATGTCCTGCAGCTCTGCTGCCTCCTCCACTGGCACTGCCTGGAGTCTCACTGCAGCCCCATCCTCAGACACCACAGGTAAGCCCAGGAAGAGCAGGTGAGGACTTGGTGCTGTCTCCACACCTCTCCTTTAGCACTGCCTTACCTGTGATCTTAACCCCGCCAAAAGCAAGCTATTGCTCTTTCAGAAATGCGACATTCAGGCCCACACCAGACAGGCCTACTGAGCCCAAGGAATTTGGCTGCCCAGAAGCAATGCATTCTTGAGCTTCAACTACTGATGGCCTTTAATAACATTCACAGGAGTCCCCTCAACAAAAGCTATGAGGAAGTCCAGCCCTACTTGAAGTATTAGATGACTCGGGGGCATCTCCTGCTTCGTGGGAATTTTAAAACAAAACAATTTTTCTGCAAACATAACCTTTTGAAATAACTTGCTTTCATTTGTGCTGGGACATCATCAGTTTCTATATTTATGATACCAAGAATCTGGAATAAATCTGAATGGACTGAAGGGTTAAAGTTGCAGTACTGCATATTTAAGGTTTGCTTCTGTGTTTTACTTCTAGACACCATCATTGTGGCCTTTTAAAGCATTTTAGTATCAAAAGTGGTTATTTTCTTTTTACTTGAATAAGACTTAGTCTTTAACCCATAGTTAGATTTTGGAAGAGGCTGAGGTCAGGCAGCAGCACCTCTGTTGGCAGCTCAGAGCTCAGGCATCCTAGTACAGTCGAGCAGCTGGAAGAACACGGGCGCCAGTCTAGCTCAGTGTTTGTGTAACATTATCTTCTTAACGCCATGTTTTAATTAAAAGACAAGTATTCCAGTAATTTGTTATACCTCTTAGAGAAGCACAACAAAATGACAAAATGTCTGTTAACAGCATATGATCAGACAGTGCTACAAAACTTGTATATTTTTTTTACAAGTACATAAACTTGGATGAAGCCAAGTGAATACAATTTACATGAAGAAGGAAAAACAATGCAGTAAGTGAATATACGCACACCTTTCCAAGTCCAGATGAAAATATGAACTTAGCTGTAGAATATGCTTATAACACTGTTTGCAACCTTTTCCCTATTCCGGAGCTCGTAGTTTAAATAACTGCTAACTGGGCATGATTCTGCAGCACCTGCTCTACCTCCTGCTGCTGTCATTACAAGAATGATCTTAAATAATTTCCTTCTGGTTTGCCTTATGCCAAACATTTTCATAACAAAAATACCCCTCAACAGTGTATCTGAAGAACATATTCTCGAATGAACTGCAATACAAGCTTTCCTGAATCCAAGTGCTGATAAACTTGTAAGAATATTCAGATCACTGTAGTTGTACAATGTCATCATAGTTCATTAAAAGCATAACAGCAATTGTTGAGAAAATATTTTTTATTTGAAGCTGTCTGAAAATATTTTTGTGATTAACGGGCGAGAACATGCTTTCTTCATGCTGTATTTGTAATGATCATTAAGTACTATTAACTCTCTTTGGATTTAATAGAAAAGTAGCTCTAGGGGGTTGACAATTTACTCAGATTCAGCTCAGCACCACAACCCTTCTATGCTTGGACCTGCTCCTGGCCCCACAGAGGTCCTGCTTGGTCATGGGCTCCCCTGTGCCATGGTTGGCTTTCCATGAAGGAATCCCCATTTCAGATGTGGACAATTAATAATCATTTCCCAGATTAAACAAAGGCCATTTTTATCAACAAAAGGTGAATAAAGGCCCCTCAGGTAGGAAGTATTATTTTTTATTGAGTGTTAAATCAAGCTGTTGACCCAATGGGATAACATATGCTTACATTTAAGCAAATGCTTAAGTGCTTTACTAGAGACCAGTACGTGATACTGTGCCAGATCCAGCTCTAAGTGAACATAATGCTTTGCTCTAAACTTCAAGACAATTCACTTCCCATTCTAAAAACTACACGTGTACATCAGTTCTTACACAGTCATGCAGAAGTGGTAGTTATTTCCAGCCCTAGGAAAAAACATGCAGGAGATGCATACAGCTGAAGTGCTCTTCAGAAAACAAAATCTAGTTAAATGTTATCACAACAGTGATCATCTTCATTTAAAAAAAAAGTGAAACAAGGAAGTAAGATTTACTCTTGGAATGATTCCGATTTAAATTAAAAATTCATAAAGTTCAGTAATTAAGTGCTTAACAGAAATCTATGTTATGTTAATAAATCGTTTGCTGTGTTTGCCATGTGTATAAATTTGCTGTGATTTTTGGCTCATTAAAATTATTTTTCTGTGATTTCCCTCTTCTTCCCATTCCCCCTAACCCTATTTCCCCTACTGCAGCAGCCATAGTTTTATTGTGTCTGTTATGATGCTTTGCTATCACTGAAGAGATTTATTCAGTGGTTTGCATGAAAGGTAAGGAACAAAAATATAGAAGGTGTTGAGGGAAATATGTTAGTTCTACTACTGTCATATGCTAAAAAACTAATAGTAGTATGAAAAATAGACCTTCTTGTTTATTAACATCATGAATTTAACTACCATGTTCATAACGTGCTTTGAAAACATTTGGGGCAGTTTTTCTTAAAATCAAACCAAAACCACCCCATCCTAAGAGATTAAGAAAGAAGCACAGTCTTAAAAAAAGAAGGAAAAAAACCCCAAACACGGTGAGAGTTATTTGAAGGCATGGTGAAAATGAGGCAACGTTACAGAATTTGTAGTGGATGGAAAGGAGCGGGGAAGATGATGCAGCTGGTTTATGGCCATCCCACCAGTTGCTAGCTGAAGACCTTGCTGTTGGCCGAGGCCATTCAGCCTGTGTGATGGTTCCTCTGGACCAAATGCCATTGTGATGTCCCCAGTAGTGTTCTGGTTGTCACCTGGTGGGAGCTGCCAGAAACTCATCACATGAGTGAGATCCATGAAAGGCAGGCTTGTAGTTTCAGCTGCTGCCTCTGTCTCCTTGTGCACCGGGTACTTGTTAGTATCCCCTACAGGCCCTGAGGAAGCTTCTTCGAGACTGATTTTATGGAGAGATTGAGGTTCTGGTAATGGCAGGTCCTCAAGAAGATGCACGTTGTAACCTTTAACATCCACTTTTATTGGTAGATTCTTAAGGCATCCTGCTGCAAATGAGGTAGAACTAAGGTCATATTTATTAGGCTGATGAAGGTTCACGTTGGCAGGAACAGCTGTTGAGCATGATGTGGGATGGACAGCTGGAAGGCTGTCTGTGCAGCCCATCCTTTGCAAATGAGGAGAAGGTTCAAGAGGAAGAGCAGTTTGTAAGCTTGGCTGGGAATGAAGATGTGAATGGTTGTATTCCTCTGATTCTGAACTATTCAAAATCCCATTCTGCACAGAGACCCTTTCAGGAAAAGGGGACAGTATGCTGGCATCTTCCTTCACTCTGAATGGAAAAAGCTGGTCAAGGAGACCCACTGAGTCACCATTCTGCAACCTGCTCTTCAGCAGTTCTTGTGGATGAGTCTTCCTAGTATGGCGAGTCAAGTGGTCCTTCCGCCCAAACCTTTGGGCACAAAACTGGCATAGAAAGTCTTTGCAGCCTGTGTGAACTACCATGTGGCGCCTCACATCTTTACGGGTATAGAAATGACGCTCACAGTGGTCACACTTATGTTTCTTTTCCTTCGTATTGCCAGTTGGTTTCCCTGCATGGCTTTTGAGGTGTTCCAACAAAACTTCAGTACCACCAAACTCCTGGGCACATACCCTACAGGTAAGGTCCCCGCTGGTGGCTGCATGAAGAGCCAAGTGTCGCTTATAGCCTAGCTTGGTGTTGTACTTCTTGCCACACTCTTCACATTTGAAGGCCATCTTGTTAGGGTCATGAGTCTGAAGGTGATTCTTTAGATGATCTTTCCTGTGAAAGGTCTTTTCACAGTAGCCACACTGGTGAGATTTCTGTGGAGAATGAGTGGCTGAGTGCCTAAGACAAAAAAGAAAAAAAAAGTTATTTGTGTTTACATTTACTCTAGTACCTTTGGTTTTGCAGCTTCAAGACTTGAAAACACTGGCACTCTTGAAGGAAGGCATTTTCACAAGTTGTCAGATTATTAGTAAAAGCCTAACTTTTTTTGTGGGGGGAAGTTGTTAATCGTAAAGCATAGAGTAGGTTAAAACCGCTCAACATAATCTTTCTGAATAGCCACTGCAATTGAGGGAGACTTGTTTTCTCCAATTCTACCAAAACAGGAATAATAAAAAATGGAACTTGGGGATTAACTGTCACTAGGACACTCCAAAAGAAAAAGATCTCCTTGTTTCTTCCCCCACACACCCACCAGAAAAGCTGTGCCTTCAGAGCTGTACCTGAGCAGTTTATATTTGGAAATGAAGGCTTTTGCGCATCCGTGCTGTGAACACTTGTAGGGGCGCTCCCCTTTGTGCGCGTAAGTGTGGACTGTGAGCTTGTCAATGGAATCAAATATCTTCCCACAGAGTCGGCAAGGGTAACTGTCTGGCTGCTTCACTTCTCTTCCCTTCAACAGTGAAGACCGGCTGTTTCTCCATTTAGGTATAAACCTCACAAGAGCATCACACGTGCTTCCTGAGCTGGCACAGCTAAGCTTTGCAGCAGAGGAACAGGAAAGGGTCCCAAAGCACTGAGCAATGCTTTTGCCTAATGCCGCTCCTCTCAGTTTCCCTTTGAGTTTGCTTTTTGCTTTTACGGGTCCCAATTTATTTGGCGGTCTGAACCTGGTGGTAAGGACTCGGTCTTTATGGATGCACTGGTGAGATTCCAGCAGAGCAAAAGTTGCAAAAGTGCTTCTACAGCTGGAGCATATCCAAGGGTCTACAGGCTCTTTCTGCAATGAGAACAGAAACAGTTTGGTCTCATTAGCCACTCTAAGAAAAGGTTGTGTTCTTCTCACTGACCCTACACCTGCTCTTGGTCTTTCCCAAGACCTATTCTTGTCCTTGGCAATATTTACTTCAATGTACTACCACACAGCTGTTCAACTGGAAATGGATTCTCTTTAGGAGTCTATAAACTCAAAGAAAAAAAAAAAAAAAGGTTGACCAAATACCCATTTCCATGTTTTTGTTTAGCATTTACTGTAACAGTCCTGAGTCCTTCACCTTTGTTTACCTGTGCTTACTGAATTTCAGAGTCTCTACATTTGTTCCTTTTATGGAATCACTCATAAAAGCAGTTGCAAATTGTACTTTATCCTTAGGCTGATATAATTTATCTGCTCTTGCAACCATACAAAAAAAATGGGTGGGTTTCTGCACACAAATGTAGTCTAGCCATACAAGATTTCCCTATGTTTTGGGCTGACTTGATGCTTTACCAGACAGCAATGGTCAACGCCTCCAGGAGAGACTTCCTCACTTAGCTTGGCATTTGGCATTAGACTTTCTCAAACTCAAAGAAACACCTTAGGTTGGAGGATCTCAAGCCTATCCTGACTTAGAGGCAATAAAACATTTTCTTTTGGCAAGCAATGCATTATTTGGAAGTATTATTTCTGTGGAAATAAGAGGTCTACTGGATTCTTTTGAATTCACTATAAATACTGACATTCTAAAAATTCCAATGAAAAACAATTACAAAAAAATCCCAGTAAATGATGAAATGTACTTCCAATTAACACATGACCATGTACTTCCTTAGCTGTCTCTATATTTTACATAAGTTTCTCATAAACTGTCCATACTTTCCTTTAGTCCTGGGCTAGCTTGCTCTGGAGAGCATGGTGAGGCTATGTCCACTCTGTCTTTACTTACAGATGGAGCACTCTTCTCTCTTCATGTCTGATGCTGTGGCTCTCCCACACCTTCTTTCTGAAGGCCTCATACTCAAAAGCAGCAATGGGGTTACTTCAGAGCACCTCTGAATTCCTGGTTTATTTGTGTTTCCTGTTTAACATTTCCTTCTAGCTTAGGTATCAATCTTCACAGCCACATTTTCAACACTTAAACCTTTCCTCTCATTTTAAGGATTCCCACCATCATACAGAGGGGAAGGTATTGGGATTAGAAGAGAAGGGTTATTGCACAAGAAAGACTGAAATAATCGGTGCATCATCTGACCATCCTGTCAGAGCACAACAAAGGTGTGAAAAAAGTCTGAGGCTGGACAGCTTGGTTATCTACAAATTAATGCCAATCTTAAGTCTTTGCAACACATCCCACTGGTGCCACTTACTCCTAGCTACATCTAATGGCGTCACTGGATTACAAACAAAGGCGAAAACCAGCCTTTCTCTGAGTAGCTGTTTGGTTAAAATTGCTCTTAGCTTTGTGTTAGCCAACTACTATATGGTCTACCCTAGCATTACCAGAGTTACATAAATGGAGAAAACAGTTAAATAAACTGTAATTCACTATGTCTGGTGATGGCTTGAATGCAGATTGGAGGTACTTACTGCTACTGGGGGCAAAGGACAGACATCAGATTCTTCTTTAATGAAGACTGCAGAAGCTTCCATAAATTTGGCATAATCAGCAGCATACCATACTTTCAATTCTGTGTGGGGTTCAATTGGCTGTGAATGGAAGAAATCAGCACATCTTTAATTCTGGCAATTATACTAAATTATTCTGAAGACTGGAGGGGTGGAGGTGTGCAATTTAGTCATTCTTACTGAAGTTGCATTCTTTGAATCTGTTTAAATTACTGGTAGCTTAGTTTCAAGATTCAAGCACTTTTTGAGCATTACTATCCACTGGAGTTTGACACTTTCACAGTTTCTAAAAGCAGAAATTCATATGTACAGAGATTGGGGGTGGGGTGGCAATAGCAGGAGGGCTGCCTCAGCTTCGATGAGCTTTGCTCAGTGAGATGTATTTGTCTGTGATGTCCAGACATACAGAAGTCTTTCCAAGCAATATCCCATGCCCCTTTGTTGATGTCTCAAAGCCCGCTGGACACAACACTTAACTATAGGGTACAGGCAAAGAAAAACACATCGTGAATGCACAACGGCTCGGGTGCCTCCTGGGTAAGTCACACTCACTGAGCACGGGTGCAGAGTTGAGCACTGTGTGTACCACAAGTCAAATTTGCACGTTTTCATGCTCTGGCTTTAACGTGTTAGGCTCACTATGCATGTGCTTTATTGTATCTCTGCCTTCCTTCCACTGAAGCCTTCCCACACAGGACTAAGGGAGCTCATAATCTGCAGTCTCCCATCGAGACATGTCTGCCCAAATCTTTCCTTGGACTGGACTGTGACCTCCTCGGACAAATACATTCAGTCAATAATGCAGTAAATAGAGAAGAGTGATTACATTCACTGGCTAAAGATCTAACTTTGGGGTCATGATTTATATGACTCTGGCCCCGTACACAATTTTCTTCATCTATAATAAAACCCAACATTGTTGCAACTGTACTTGTAGTTTTATTTTAACTAAGCTAAACTTGTGTCACTGAAAAGAACAAACTAGCCTGGAAGGAGACCAGCTGAGTCTTATTCCATAAAATGTGACATCTTAAAATGCATTTATTTTATAACATTGGTGATAATCATGGTATGTGAAAGACAACTTAAATTGTGAATGCTGACAGGTGACAGATAATATATGTGTATAATGTTGAAAACTGAACTTCTGAACTCTCAAGCACAAGCCTGTTTGCTAACTACAACCAGTATGGGTTGGTTGTACGTTTTGATAACACCTGGCCTAACCTGAAATGGTATGTGCTGAATTCTCCGCTAAATAAAGGACATGAGGCAGAACCACCAACTAGGAGGCCGATCATGCGTTGTGCTTCTGCACACAGTCTATTTAGGTGGAGAAAACCAAGCCTGGGGAAGCTCCACAGAGACAAATGCCTGAGGATGCCCTGGAACCTTGGCCAGTGACACCCCAGACTAGTATCCACAAACAATTGCACAGCAGGACACTGTCATGACTTTCTGCCTGACATTCCTGGACCAGCAGCGATCTCTTCTGTGGGAAGCTGAGACCTAGTCAGTGTGACTTCGGAAGGAGAACAAGTGCATCAGTGTGAGAAATAGTCAAGTAAGGCAAAAGCTCTCATCTCTCAAGCCCTGGCTTGTGTCAGCAATAGCGTGGCCAGCAGGGACAGGGAAGGGATCTTACCCCTGGACTCGGAACTGGTGAGGCCACACCTCGATTCCTGTGTTCAGTTTTGGGCCCCTCACTACAAAAAGGACATTGAATGACTCGAGCGTGTCCAGAGAAGGGCAACGAAGCTGGTGCAGGGTCTGGAGCACAGGTCGTACGAGGAGCGGCTGAGGGAACTGGGGGTGTTTGGAGAAGAGGAGGCTGAGGGGAGACCTCATCGCCCTCTACAGCTACCTGAAAGGAGGTTGCAGAGAGCTGGGGATGAGTCTCTTTAACCAAGCAATAGGTGATAGGGCAAGAGGTAATGGCCTCAAGTTGCACCAGGGAAGGTTTAGACTGGATATTAGGAAGCATTTCTTTCCAGAAGGGGTTGTTAGGCGTTGGAATGGGCTGCCCAGGGAGGTGGTGGAGTCCCCATCCCTGGAGGTGTTTAAGATTAGGGTCGACATAGTGCTTAGGGCTATGGTGTAGTTGGGAACTGTCAGTGCCAGGTTAATGGTTGGACTGGATGACCTTCAAGGTCCTTTCCAACCTAGCTGATTCTGTGATTCAGTAAAACTGACATTAACCACCAATATCCAAAGCCACTACAAATTGTCATTTACTCAGTTTCACCCATGACAGTAAGAGAAAGCTTATTTCCAGGGACTGCAGTCATTAGGTCAGCAAGTCTGCTAATGGTGCTGTTGGTATGCCACTTACATGTATGCTTTTGTAGCTTCAATTTCATGTCACTGAGATCCCACCTCTCCGTAAAAACAGTGAGAAGAGGAGCCAATCCTTCTGCTCCTAACTTAGCAGACTTCATTCAAAGTATCTTGAAAAAATGTCTTTATAACCAGCCCTAAGGCAGCCTCATCCTGTGACCAGCAGGGTGTGCCTAAGTGTAGCAAAAGGCTATCACTTCTGACCAGGACAAAATCTGCAGGATAACACAGCACCATGAATAATACTGGAACTTAAGAGAAATAAAACCAAAACAATTTCCTATAATACACAGCACAGTAAAGGTTACAAGTCACATTCCTCATCATAAGATACTCTTTGTGTCAGTACATGGGATGCAACTCTCCACTGATGACAATGAGCAGACTTCTGCTGAAGTCAGCGAAGAGCTGGTTCAGTAGTATTTAAATTACGCTGGAAATTGTAAGTTACCAGATCATAACTACAACTTCTTAGAAAAGCATTTGTTCATGCTTCCCAAATATAGTATTATTAATCCTATCAATTCTACAAACAGAGCATGCACTGTCAAATCAAACTGAAATCTCAAACGGTATGGATTGCATCAGAAACTCAAACACAGCCTAAACAATGTCTCAAATTAACATATGCTGGTTTAAATTGATTTTCTTTTTAAAAAATAATTATTTTAATATTAATTCAAAAGCAATTATACTTCATACTATTATAAAATACTTTGAAAGTATAAAATTTTATCATTGTTAACTTATTCTCACATCATCCTGTGTAGTAAATATTCTTCTTACTGTGTAGGTGGAGACACAAAAATGAAGGAACAAAAGTAAACACTACTATCCCAAGAAATGTGTGCCAGTCTTGGAAATTAAACTGAAATGCTTGATTTTAATCCCACAGCAACTTCTTTTGACTAATATTCTTTCTTTTTATTACTTTTAATGTTGCTCACAATGATATACAAGCATTAATTTAACAACAAAAAAGGAAAACAATGAATGTTCAACATACAGACTTCAGTTTCCTAAGTGTACAAAACAGTAAGTTCTGATTTAAACAAACTTTGCCTGAGAAAGCAGCCAAAACATCAAAAACCAAGACTGTATGTTCTAGTATGATTTATAAATACAGAATACTTTGCTCTCTCTCCTCAGACCAAGATGCAGTCCAGAATCTCTAACATAAACTGATCATTTCATGATAACATTGCAGTATTGTAAGTTCTGCAGTTAAATCTTCAGATTTAACAAGCATGGAGAATAGTACATAAAGACTCTACACAGCACTCTGTTCTTGAGCACCTGGTAATGTGCTCAGAACACAACGTGTCCAAAAATGTAATAAAGGAATGTGTATGTTTTTTCCAGGATGAAGTAGGGTTGAATGTAACAATGCTAGATAATCTCCCCATGTACCTGTTTGGAACTAAAGACCTTTACAACATTCACATTTAAACACCTCCATCACGAATGATACTTCTGTCTCCCTCCACTCAGTTTCTTCGCTACCCACAACAGCAAGTACACACCACCTTTTATGAGAAAACCCCACTGCTTGCTTTACTATGGATGAAGTGATATAAAAGGTGGTATGTAATAAAGACCCAGTTGGCAGAATATAATCAATCTTTCATCTGTAAAAGGGTTAGCCTTTCAGAACCTTTGCCCATAAATTTCCATTTCGATGATGGGTGAAGCAATGTGGGTTTAACTACCTTAACAGTTGTGAAGTAGACTTCTCCACAGTGCTGATAAGCCACAAGGGTCTGCTCTTCTTGGTTCCGGGCTAGCCGGACAAACATCATCCAGTTTCCACAGTCTTCATTGGGAGTGTCCAGAAAGTACTTCCCTCCATCTTTCAATACCTGAAACAATGAGGGAGAACAGGAAAAGGAACATGATAAAACCAAGGCATGTTAGTTTTCCTTAGGTTGGAATCATGGCTGTCAGTTATTTACCCTGTCTTGGTGGTGGTATGTCCTTTGAAATAGTGGTTGTTTTGAAACAGATCACTCCTAAAGAATATTGAGTGCAAAAGAAAGTGAAGAACGAATGCGTGCCATGCACCCAGCTACTAAAATAACTGTAGGCCATTGTATGTATTTCCAGTTTATATTTCAACATTTTTATGTTATATAAAGATAATATAAGAACTAAGTGCAGGCAGGTAGAAAGATAAGCTTTATGCCTTAATGTACTTCCTGAGTACTTGATAATCTCAAACTTCAGTACTGTATTAACGCTACATTTTGCATGGAACTATTGTGTAACCTGTGTAATAAGTCCAGAGAGGTAACAAACAATGTAATGACATTTTAACAGTCTTCTCTTTTTCCCCTTAACAATGCAAAAGTAAATACAAATGAACAATTGTGCCAGAAAGATCTCTTTCTTTTTGCTTTACTTCATTCTTCCTAGATTCCTTTCCAAGAGAATGCTTCTACGAGTGAAACACTCCTGACCTCATACAACACAGTTGCTTTTCTGCAACCTAGTCTCAGACACGGACAGTTGAAGCTGCACAACAGGTATCAGCACAGCAGGTATCTGGTCTACTAACCACATAACTGAGCACTTCATTGTAAAGAAAAGCTGCATTTCCATTGCTTCTGGGAACTATTTTTATCTAACTTTGTCATGTTTGTAATGAAAACACCTGCCTGTTGGACAAGTTTGGTCACATACTCAGAATGCTGCTAGGGAGAAGTCAAGGCAGCTACTGCTGTAATGTGGAAACCTGGGACTCTAAGTCTCCTCTTCTGCAGAAACAGTCCATTCATCAGCCAGAGCTGTGTCTCACACTTTTAAGCAAATGGGTCTGACTGGTAAGAGGACAGGGTGTGGTTTACAATGGCTTGGTGAAGAGGAAGGAACTGGGTGCTTAGCTCATCCGTGCTCACAAGCTTGTTAGAGAAGCACGTTTTCTGCCTCTGTAAGGACAAAAGTGTCTCATAAAAAGATGGAAGAAAAATAGTAATGGAGAAGAACAAGTCTTCTCTGGTGTCAACATGCCATGAAAATCCTACAGAAGGACAGTGTTACTTTCTTGGCAGGCCATTCACATTACTTCCATGATCAAAAGAAGTTTTACAGCAATTACTGAAGCTATTATTTTTGCTCTCAAACAAAATTACAGAATAATCTGTACCTATGCCATCCTCCACACCACACAGTGTTTTCCAGTCCTAAGCTTTTGGAGAAAGCTCAAATTAAGACATAAAGCATGTCACAGGACAGCTGCTGCTTGTCCCTCTCTCCTGGGGGGTGAGAGGGCCTGATATGAGATGCAGGCTCTAGAAGAACCGTGACCTGTCGGGAAGTCCTGACGGATGCTGTGGCTTGACCACAAACTTACTGTATGACAGAGAGGTGTGCCCAGGCATGACCCCCTGCAGCAAAATGCAAAGACCGGGATGTAGAGGATTATGATAAACTATCACTCCCAAGGAATTCCTGTGGGAAAGGATGTGCATGTAGGTATGTCTAAGCTAGGCTAGTCATGAGAAGTCACTATCTGTACGGGATAAAGTACAAACAATAGCGTCACAGTCCAGATGAGACGCTCAGTATCTGCACATGCAGCAAGGGATGGTACCAGCCCTAAGTAACAATCTGTCTAAATAAACTGAGTTAGTGCACTGTGTGTCAATGTTTATATATAATCACATCATTAAGACGTGTTTCCCCATCCCTGCACTGCTCTTCCCTACTAAGAAGGTGCCTTAGCACACATTTCCACCACAACTGCTAACTTAGTGCACAAACTTAACCCTCTCAGTGGCATGGTGTTAAGCATAAATCATTTTATCTGGAAAGACTATACTACCCTTGGAGACTTTCAGCAGCCATGCTCTGTGAAAAGTGTATCAAGAGCTATTTGACAAGTAAATCACCCCAGAAGTGGTAAAACTAGTAAGCAGGAAAGAAAACTTCTAGAAAACACAATATATAGGAACATTTTGGTACTTCAGGTTATGCTGTGCTGTCGAATAATGTGATCGAAATTCATACATACAAAGCAGAAATACAATTAATTAACTAGATCAGACAGCAAATTAACTGGTTGAAATACATAAATACATATGAACTGTTGAAGACACATATGCACTTCATAGTAAGTCACTGGATTTTTACCTGCAGGACTAGCCTGCTCTCATCATAGCGGGTCAGTTTTGTAGACAGTTGACCAACGTAAGGACCAAACTGTGTTCTCTTCTGTATTACTTTCTTTGCAAATACTCCAAGGACTGTGAATAAAAAAAGGACCAGTCTAATATTAATACAGACATCACAAACTATTTCTTTTATATTTACAGTTATGAAACTGGAGAGAAACACAATAGTGCAGAACACATGAATTCTTCTAGACCAATAACCTAGGTAAATAATTCTAATGGGAAGAATCTAAAAGTGGATGTAAATATGTACACATATTTAAAAAAAAAAAAAAAAGGTATTACATTTAATTCAAAAGTGTCTAAAATCTATGACAATATATTAAACAGAGTATGCAACGCAAATGTGTTGATACTCTTCAATCTATAAGCTGATGTTATCATAGTGCTCTGCTTGTTGGAAAAATTTACAAGGTTACACTCTCCCAATATAAGTGGAGAGAATCTATAAAAACATAACATTAGCCATTTTAATCATTCTAGTTATTCTCCTGCCTAATACCAATGATGCCACACAAGAGGCACCTTGTCATTCTCTTTCTGAAATGCAATCTAGGCAGGATTAATTTTACACAGGTAGCTGTGGAAAAATTACACACTAAGGATGTTGTTCCCTTGTTCAAATTTGGGCATTCAAATTGCCCTGCCCTCAAAAGGAAACAACAGTCTTTATATAATATGAAGATGCGGTAAAAGGTAAATTAACCCCCTGTATTCTTTTGAGTTTGCAGAGGGTGGATGAGGGATGTTATTTACTATTTTGTTTCTGACCTCTTATTGAATACTCTTTCCTGGTTTTGCACGCTTGGGGAAAAGAGAAAAATATATACTAGTGCATGGCTGTTACTATTAGATACAAATTCAACATTCATTAAACTTGTATTGACTGAATAGGGCTAAATGATTGCCCACAGCTAAATGTCACACCAGCTCTGGCTCATGTCCTGTCGTCAGTCTATGCACCAAAGTTACTAGAAATCAGTCATAAAAAACAGTAGCTGAATGTGAGCTTTAGCTGTGCTCAGCTGAAAACAGTCTTCATACTGTTAATACCCAATGATTATGCCTTGAGTTATTCATGAAAACAAGCCAGTGTTAGTATTTTTGTCTCCTCTTTCTCAAATGTTGGAAAAAGAGCTAAAATACTTACTCTGCTGGTTTCCAGCTCGCAGCTCCAACACTCGCAAAGTGAGGTAATGAGGTAGGGTGAGACGGGCTCGGCTAGGAATAACCCTATCTTTAGCCCTGATGAGTGGTCCGTGGAGTTTGCATTCTCCTATAAGGCTTTTACCGCAATCCTCACACCCTACAAATCCAGAAAAGGGAACCTGTTACTAAAAATGACATACTGCTCTCCAATTTAGTCTCTTCTATAATTTTGCCACCTTGAGAACACATCTTGCATTACCCATGCTTTTCTTCAAACCACTGTTCTACATTAAATATCAAAAAGATTATTTGCAAGCCAAAACTGAACTAGGAAGGTTTGAAGTAACACCTCCAGTTTGTGCATTCTCTCCTGTGCAAAGTGGTGGGTCCTGACATCCGAAGATTTATACACGTTCGTCTGCAAGTATCATGAACTCTGCCTTTGAAGACTAGGATGGCAGCAAAACTAGAGCTCACAGCATGCACACCTATAAATCAAGGTGCACACATTTATAAAGAAATGAGAAGGGCAAAGTGCTAATAATAACCAAGGTAATTTGCAGAGATCCAAGGAGTTCAGGAAAGATCACTGTGACTTTGTGAGCCTGCACAGACCAATCTCAGTGGAAGACAAGACCCTTAGTGTACCATGAACAGTGAGTACGATGGGTCTTACAGTCACAACTCAGTTGACAAGGGCAGCCTGCTCATAGACCATGCTGCCTGTGGAAGAAAGCAAAAGGGGCATGCTGCATCTCCCAGTCTCTGTTTCACAATAATGACATCTGCAGGCTGAACACACAAACCACGCAGAGAAGTCATTAAATACATGTCTGCAAACTGACTTTCCCGTAGCACAGTGAGATATTTTTGGTTCAGTGTAGCTCAAACCTGTTGCCAGGGAAACTTATATGGAGCAGCGACACAATTGAGCAATGAGACTCTCAAGCAGAAGGTCATCCCAGCACTGGTGTCACACAGGGCGATGGGAAAAAGGGGACTTCTTGCACAAAACTTTTTTATAGACAGTAGAAACCAAACCAGTGAGCCAACAACGCTTTACAACTGAGTTAAAAGGAAAAGCTGATACTGGTCACCCATGACCACCACATTTTGTTTTACTTCTGAAAACTCTGTGAAGCAAGTCTATTCAGTAAGCGACAATAAGGAGCAGAGGAGGGGAGCCAGAACAGCCAAGAGAGTCCAAGGGAGCCACAGGACGCTGTAACAGAGACTGGGGCAGGAGAGGTCAGTCTTCACCACAGACCAGGGCTCATGGCCAGAGTGGTCAAAAGATGCGTAAGGGCTCAGGGGACACCCCCTGGAGAGACAACGGAGATGGTCTTTGAGAAAGGACAATAGCACCATAAATGTCATATTCAGGGTAGCTCAAAAAGGTTTCAGTTTGTAAACATAAGTGGGCACCTGACTAAATTATATGACGCAACAGTCTGGTCCCAAATCTCCCAAAATAAGCTGGAAGTGTTCCTTTCAAGTTCTTTGGGTTCTCCACGAACTCTAAAAGAAGAGGTACACTTGGGTGTTCATCAGGCTGCAGTAGTCCATATTTTTCACTAATTTGGGGACCATGTCATAGTTTTCTTTTGCCATGGCTCCCAGACCGCACACCTGCACTATGAATAGCCGAAACACATTATTTTTTTTGCTAGTGCTACAGACCAAGAACATGCCACTCTACAGCCACCACTTAAAAATGCACACACACACACACACACACACAAAATACAGCTGCAAGGCAGATTTTTCTTGTTACACACTGCTTTATGGACCTGAAAGTCCTTTACAGCTAGGCTGCAAGGCAAAAAATATTTTCTTGGTGATTTAACTTAACTGGCTTTTAAATAAATTCCCAAGAATCTATGTCTTCTGAGGACAACAAAATTATGAGGGTTTCCTGAGCTTACCTAGAATAATAGCGACTTTGTCTCAAGTCAAACAGCTCCTGCTTGGAGAGTCATTGTATGCAAACTGCTGAAAAAACATTACCAAAAGCAAAATGGAGACAAAGAACCGCTGTTAGAGAGAGGATGTATCTAATCGTAAAGTACACGACCTTATCAATCCATGCCATGCCTCTGTGATTCATCACTGCTGAGCTCCTGAGCAAACCTTCCAGCTGCCCCAGGGCAGTGCCCACCATGGAGGCCCCAGGGTGGGCAGCTCACAGGAAGGCTGGAAAGGGAAAGCAGGGAAAAAGCATCTCCCCTTGAATCAGCCTCTAAATTCAACACTAGTGCCCCATTAGCTAATTCCCCTTGCTCCTCTGGATCTAAGACATAAGGTATGAAACAATTCATGTGGTGTGGGTGCTGGGGAGGTACTCCTTCAAAATCAGGGACCACTTTGCATCCGAACAGGTGCTGAGCATGCCACCGAAGTTAGGGGCCGCAGATACGGCTTCCTAGATGGCATGCCTAACTGGCGGGATGAGACCATCAACTAGCACTGAATCAAATTAGCTGCAGAGCTGGAAGTGGTTTTTAAGCACCTTGCTAGTATGGCTTGGGATTCTGAACTGGCATCGTTGTGCAGCACCCTGAAATACCCAGAGCTGCCCAAGACTTGTTCTAGGATTTCTGATGTTTTATTACATGGGATATTAAGATAACTAGATGAATTAGTTGTTTAACAGGCATCCTGGAATTACGTTCACTACACAGTGGTTTTGATCCCACACCAGCATGTTAGTACCCTGACTCTGAATTTATTGCACAGTAAAAACTACCAGGTGTATCAGAAGCACAGGATTGGACCACAATAAATATAGTAACTTTAGGGACTATGCTGGGGAACAGGGTTCTTTGTTATTTCTTTCCCCCAAACTAACAGTGCAAAACTGTCAGGTTCACATTCTTCATCAGAGATGATTACAGAACAAGTCACACAATCCTTGGTATTTCAGTGCTCAATTATAGATGCCATTGGCAAAGGAACATATGCATTATCGTCGATGCAGCATGGCACTGATTTGCAAAACTCACACAGATTTTATGCCCTTTTAACTTGGCTGCTTAAGTAAAATGTAATTTTTTCAACAACAGCCTCAGAACACACTCTAACCTGTTCTGAAATATGGAGCAGCCAGCTATGGAAACAACACACACTGTTGTATTAGCCCTAGGAATAAAATACTCTTGGTTAGAAAAATCACTTTCTGTGAAGAAGGCTTTTTCGGCTTTTTGTTAGGCACTTTAGTACCTCACTTGATGCTTTTACAGTTTCCCTGCTCCCTTAAGTTGTATTTACACAAAATTAATGGACTCGATGTAACTTTTACAGGAATACTTGATAATGTGCAAGCATGCAAGAAAAAATAAAGCTGCCTCAGTTCCTCTGCTTTGCTGTGATTTAGATGAGCAGGCAACAAAAGAGAAATAAATGAGATTCACAGGGATTACAAGCTGTTAAAAAACAGGTAGTGTCATTTACTATCTCTTTAGAGCAGCAGTGCTCGATTGTTTTTGTTCTTTCTCTGTCTGGAATGATTCTGAAGAAGTTCCAAATAACGCCTTTTTTATCTATCAGCAGACAAAACTACACAAGCTAATAGATCTTGTAGCTGGCAAAGTATTTATTTTGCTGGACTCCACTGCAGCAGTGGGGAGGCACACATACAGATAGCCCAGTACGGGTGCAGGTGCAGACTCCAACCAAGCTGTGGGTGTGCAGCCACGGCCTTATCACAGGGATGAGGTGCTCCTGCCCAGCGAACTGCCGCCGAACGGGCTAAGAGCAGGGTATGTCTCCTGTACACCCCAGCCTGGTACCCCTGTACCTGAATGCATCTGCTCCCACTTCTGCCCAGCCGTTGGGAGGCACGGCCGGCAGCCATGGCTTCCCCCTGCCCTTTGGGTCACCGGAAGAATGACACCCGCTGCCTGCAGGATGCACTCCCACCACACAAGCACACCCAGCTCACCGCAACACTGGCAGCCATGTTCCTGGGGAGGGGAATGGGCTGTGAATGTGGCTCACCTGTACTGTCCTCACCATCCTGGTGCTTTCCCCAAGTCCAGGTCTAGGTCTAGGTGACAGCTCTCCTTCGGGCAGACTACAGCCTGGCAGCCTTGGTGTCCAGCTTGCCTCGTCCTCCAGACGGCTCTGGGGCTGGCCACACTGCACGGGGACAAGCTCCCGCGGCCAGCAGTAGCCAAGCTGGCACGGTGGCTTGGGCAAGCTGGACTTGAGAACAGTTAACAAACTCAGGTTTCCAAAACAGCAGCAGCTTTGGAGCACCGTGCCACCCCCACAGGCACAAGCCCAACCTCGGGGAGAGCTCATTAGCGTGGGCAAAGAGCCACAGGCTGCAGTTACACAAAGTCCGGCTGCAGAGATAACAGGAGCTATACATAGCCATACTAGGAACTGCAATCACTGTCGTGATAGCTCAAACATACCACCAGCTCCTTAACCAATCAGCCACAGAACACCACTTTTTAAAATCAGTTTGCTAAAAACCTAGATGCCTATCAGGCAGTCCTTCCTGCGTTTTCTTCAACTTCTACTTTGAAGTGAGACTTTACGGTACCTGAATGCTTCGGTGGCCCACAAGATGCCTGCAGTATGATTCACGTGCCCTGTGAAGGCAGAGGTAAATCATTGCTTTTAAAATGTCCACTTCGAACAAGAAGCCCTGTGAGAAACGATCGTCGGCTGAGCAGTGCTTGATATTTGCTGTGCTGTTTTGCAGCATTAGAATTAGCTCCTGTACACAGAGGGAACAAAGATCAGTGTACACAGCAGTCCAAATCCTAGCCTAATTACAATCATAAGATTTGCATAGCAAAACCCAGTAATTTATCCCAGAGTAAAACTGTACTGCTCCATTAGCCTTGTTCAGCTTTCACGTGGAGGAAGACTGCAAAAATACCTTGTGGACATTTTCTGTCTAAGATACACTACATGTACAGTATGCCAGTCTTGGTTCTTCTTACCCAAACATACATGAGCTTTTCCTGCCCTGTGGTTTGTTCTGCAGTACCCCTTGCTGGAAAAGCTTGAAAACCTTGTTCCACAATATAATTTATTTGGCAAAAAATTCAAAGTACTCAATTAGCAAACAGTTAATCCCAAGTTATCTTCCCATTATTGTGGGCCACTGTTACATATTTCCTCTGTAAAAAACGTTTATGAAAG